ATATATAAAATAATTAAGTGATTAGTTCTATAAATCCTCTATCAAAATCTTGCCAAGCTATTGTCTTTTGAAGTTTTTAAAGATTATTCAACTCAAAACTCTATGTACGGATCGTGTTGAGCTACTTGTTGCTAGTTGAAAGCCGTGAGAAAGGCTTGTTGAGTTAGGCTTGGAAAGTGAGGCACAGTAACCTAAGTCAGAGATCTTCAAGGAAGTAGTAGACAAAGTGAAGTAGGCTTTCGCTGGAGGTAAGAACTATATAAAGAATTATTACATGCATGGTTAAAAGTATTGTAGAACTTAAGAAACAAATTAAAACAAGAAACAAAAGGTTACAAGATTTGGAAGTATTATTGAGTCTAGCTACTATTAATACCTATCCTAGATTATGTAGTGAACAACGCAATTTAATTAGCGAAAAAAGAGACCTAGAAAGTAAGTTAGCTAAATTAGAAGTAGAACTAAAAGTGCTAATTAGATATGAGTCTATGAATTTCACATCACAAAGATTAGTAGTTACAATTTATGTAGTAGAATTAAGTAATAATAAAAGGTTTAATGAAGAAATTACGTCCCTAAAAAGGTTGAGTTTTAGGCATCAGTAGAAAGCTAAAGAGTGGGATCAATTAGGAAGTATTAAGATCGTAGAAGAAATAATATTTGAATTAAAATTTATAGATGAATTAATAAAGTTATTAGAAACTACTATCAAGGCCAACAAAACAAAAAGTATTATTGCAGCCTGTAGAAATTAAAGTACTTTGAAACCTTGTAATAGTAATGCATGAGTTTATTTAGGACTTTGTAAATGATGTTCGAGTTTACGATCAATAATATGAATATTATAAAAATAAAATAGTAAGCATTTTAATAGAAATTAGTGATATAAGGACCTTTGATGATTATTACCTACCAAAATCTATTAAAAAATTAAAGTACATAGTACCAAACTTGAAATGTAGACTTAAAAAGACTTCAAAAAGCTAAACAAATATTATCTTTATTAGCAGTCTAATGGTAGATTTGCTTTGTAGTATTAGTTCGTATGATTATATTAGTCCAAAGTTGTATTTGTACTTTAGTAGTTTTAGTTTGATCCAATTGTTTGATTTTAGCTTGTTGTTTGGTATCAAAGCCTGGAGTTTTAAGTGTTAGGACTTCATTATAATATGTAAGAAAGTTAAAGTACCTATTAAGAAAAATCCAAAAATAGTAAATTAATAGGCAGTAACTGCTAAAGTCAAAAAGCTGATCAAAGGGTTAAAACCCTTATGGACGGTGAGCTAAAGGGCTAAACACCTCGACATAACTTGGAAGGCTAAAAGTCCTAAGGACAAATAGTTTAAGAGTTTTTGGTAGGTATAAGCCTTCTATGGATGGATTAAAAGGCTTTTACTCCCGTGAATATATAACAAACTCAATGGTAATTTCATTTTACGTAAAGATATAAAAATTTTAAATTTAAATTATATGAAATGTGATGGTTGAGATATAAAATGCTTAAATAAAAAAGAGTTACCTTGAAGAAAAGAATTAATTTATTTGTATAATTTAAAATAAAAAGAAAAAAGATTCTACTTCTTCAGTTATCATTTATCTGTCTACTTTGATTTTTAACTTTGGGTATTTATTTGATTTATTTAATCGGTTTTTATTTTATATATTTCTATGCTACAAGTATAGGAAATTTCACCGTGATAGACCTTGTTTGTAATTCTAGCATATTTTTAAATATAAACAATTCTAGGTTAATTTTAGGAGGGAAAAGAGGACCAAGACCTGAACATGGCTAGAGTGTAATTAGGGGGTAACAAAGGTTAAAATAAAAGACCAAGACTTTTGTAGGACAATGAGACAATGTGAGATGACTATCATGTGAAGTGTGAACATGGCGTAAAGGAAAGAAACGTGAAACGATTTTAAGGGGTTTGGATAAAACGCCCTCAAAATTTGAGGAGCTCTTAAAATTTCTCTATCTTCAAGAAGGATATTAATTAAACAAATTCTAAAGGATTATTGAGAGTGCTCCACCCAAGACAGTAGAACCCTCCACATGTAAATTAGTGCCTAGTGTGGTTGGAGTTTTTAATAGAAATTTTGTTGGAAATAAACTATTGTAAAAATGTTATTTTTATAAATAAATAAAAAATAAAATAAGAATAATGTGTTAATTTCATTAAAATTCAAATGAGAAACTCCTGCAAAAGCATTAATTCGGTGTTTCTAAAATTTGTAATGAAATGGACAAAATACTAATTTGTGAAAAATTGTAATAGTTTTTTTTATAAATTATAGTGTTTGGTACAGTTAAAGTTTTAGAATCTAAAAAGACTTTTCACCAACCGTATCAAACACAACCTTAGTTTTTTTTATAAATGGCACAAAACAACAATGAAATGTACAAATGTCAACTACTATTGTGACCCAATGGCCTCAACTATGTTAGAAAGCATGGTAATATTTAAAAATTTAAAGTTTAAGTTTTGATAATCTCAATCTTCACCCTTAATTATGCTAGTTAAAAAATAATAATAATAATGAAATGGGCCAAAACCCAAATCAAAGAAGAAGCATAATATAATAAATATATATATATACACGAAGGAATGCTTATTTATCCTTTTTCCGTGACAGCGATCTCCTCCTTTTCTTCTTTCTTTCTCACCATTTATTTATTAGATAAACTCTTTATTTATATTTTATATATTATTTTATAATTAGTATTTTTAAAAAATTTTATTTTTAATTGATATCTTTTATAATTGAAAATTTTTTACAAATTTTAAATTATATAAAATACAAATAAGAAATTAGGCTCTTCATTGTGATGCACGACTTCAGGCTCAGAGTCGGCTAGGAGAAGAAACTGAAAAGACGGGGAAAACCGAAAAAGGAAGGCAGCCCAAATAAAAGAAAAGGCTCATCAAGATAATGGGCCATTAAAAAAATATTAATTTTTTAATAGTACTATAGTAGTAGTCTGCAACACAAAAAGCCCGCTTGTTTTAGCTTATGAGAATTGGGTTGGCTGTAGGACACGAGCCAGACATTTCGATCCACCAGGTCCAGGCCCTTAAAACAGAGAAAAGACTTCCTTAGGGGGTGGGCAAGTACGGTGTATTTGATTTGAAAGTTTGACAGGTACAACATTTTTATACTCAATATTTTTTTAAAAAAAAAATTAGAATTACATTGGTAGTATTAGTATTTGTACTAAGGAGATAGGGAATGTCGACTCAAAAATTCGACTTAAAGAACCAAAGTGTCCTCACTTGCTCCTCAATAAAAAGTGTGACTCCAGCGACCACATGAATAGAAAGCTACTCAATACTTATTAAGATATTAAAAATTTATTTATAAATATAATTAAATCTTTTATAAAACACACTTGTTTATTATTACAAATAACGTTTAGTAATTTTGACATGAAAGGTAGCGAGGGATGGTAATGTTTAGTGAACCTAGTTCACCTATTTTGAAGATAGAAGTATTAGGGATGTCATCATAATTAGGAGTAGGTATCTTACTTGGTAGATTTGGAAGTGATGCCTCAAACTTAAGCACCTAAATTGCTTACCTAATTGACAGAAATGAAAAACGAAGATAAATCTGTATGGTACTAACTTTTCCCTGCTTGGAGATGGCCAGTTTCTGAAGAATGACTGTCAATATCAATTCTTGGAACCCACAGCAATTTTTTGTTCCCTTTCTTTTTTCTGCTTCTTTCTCTTATCTCTTCTGCGGTTCTCACCCTTTGGGCCAGGATTTGCATTCAACAGTGTGGCTACCGTCTGCTGGCTAGGGTGTTGGTTTGAGAAAGAAAATGGGTTCTAGATTTTCATTTACGCCTGTTGCCATGTGCCATGTGGCTTGATGGGTTAAGTACTTAGGATGGGATTGGGTTGGCAACAATGATGGGTTGAATGATTGAGTTGGAGTTTAGTGGTCATGTTAATGTATAACATTTTTTTCAAAATAATTATTAAATAATTACATTTTTTTATAATAAAATATTACAAAAATCATAGTCATAACAATTCATGACAATCTCAAAGTATATGGATGAAAAATACAAAATTCACATGTTCCCCTTTTGCCAAGCTACAGCTTTCAAATGGGGCGTGCACGTTGCTTTTGAAGCAACTGAACCAAATCAAGCTTACCTCTTCAAAGGCAGGCAACCAGTATGCTCTTATAAATTATGATTCCAAATTTCCAATACCCTCATTGCCTCTGCTCCCATCACCGAATGCTTTCCTAGCTTGAATAATACCATATTTGAGGGAAAATATATATATACACACATGCACACCCACACACAAGTAGCATTTTTTCCCCACACAAAAGGCAAGGCTTTCCTATTCAATCAAGGGTAGATCTACATTGAAAAGAGATTAGATAAAGTTCTTACCCTTCTTTCAAAAAATATTTACAATTTTAAAACTTTATAATTATAGACCGCCTTATTAAAATGAAAATAATGAACAATGCCAGTTAATTTTTAGACATTTTTTATTGAAAAATATAATATGCCCTACCCACTGATTGATCATGGTTCCACACTTATATTCAATGAAACTTTTCAACTTTGGAGAGTGATACATTTTCAGTGAAGTGAAGGATATTAGTCCAAACTGGCAATGACTCGGAAGCATATTGCCCCGCAGAAGGCTAGCTATGACCTTTATTGGCTCCTGGACGCTATTAAAGGTTGCTGCAGTTGACCCTTTATAGTGGGATCTTCCTGTCTCTTCTTAGAATTAAGATGTCTGCACTTGGACAGTCTGTTTTCGGTGTTACGTCTCTCGTCTTAGAATTTAAATGTTTGCATTTAGTTGTTTACTTCAAGTGTTATTCAGCTGTGTGTGGGGCTTAGAATTGATTTAGAAATTTCATCTTTGTACATACATATGATTTTCAACTTCTCCAAGATTTAACTGATTGGAGTAGCAATTGTCTTGAGATTCTCAAGTTACAGAACTAAGTGCATTTTGAATACCATACGAGAAATAGGTATATTAAAGCACCAAGTTCTCATGCTTAAAAACTAGTATATATACATATTTACTCCTCAAATATGTAGCACATGTTTCAGAATGGGGTGGAGTGCACAGTTTCCAGATATCATGGCCAAAATTTCCTGCATTTTGATTGAATCCTAAATAAACGTTTCTTTACATAGCCTAGTTTAACATTCCATCCATGATCAATAGGAACTCCAGCGCGATTGATCCACGTGGGGTTCCCTCAGTGTTTTCCACAGAGAGTCAAGAAATCCTGGAATGAAAGACCTTTAAGAAAGATCTGAATCAGAAGACTTTGTAATGATACGCATCATGAATCCTCACTAATATATATCAGGGGAAAGTTAGAACTTAGAAATGGGAGGCTATTCCCACTTGTTGGTACTGATTAACAGTAAAACATTACTCTTTTTACATTCTCCTTCAAGGCCGGCAATGGCCGGACCCCAGACTCTCCTGCTGTCCGTGTACGTTTGGTCTGACCTGCACCCCCACTGCCTTGTGACCCATTGTCTTGCATCTCTGGTTCCATGTAGAATCGAGCTCGAAAAGCAGCTAAATGTGCATAATATGCTGGAGGAACTGCATAAAAACAGCAAAATAGCTAATTACAAAATGATTCACAACCGAGATATCTTTCTAATCACCCCCGTTGTTTCGGAAACCAAAATGAACCTTTGCAGTGTGATTTCTTCTCCTTAAGACCTTAACCCTCAGAAAGAAACGCAAATACTGAAATTATATCATGAAAATATAATTTGCTTACCAACAGAAACAGACCGAGTGCACCTTGCATATGTATAACAAAGATTGTTTGTCAAAGACTGTATTCCATCTGCTGTAAAATTGTTCTCGTCCCAGAGAACGTGGTAGTGTGCTGGACGACTAGTTCCCTAGCAATAAGGTAAGGATGATGAAATTTCTGTTACATCCACTCAACAAACAATATTAATAGAAGGCAATTCCATCTCATTCTTATCAATAATATGATAGTGCATGTGATAGCATTCATTTTCATATTTAGCCTACAAGTTAAATTCGGGCCATCAGACAAAGGTTGAATACACATAAACAAAATTAAAGCAAGAGGTCTTTGATTATGGTAGTGAACTCACAGCAAAATATCTTTGCCAACACAAATCAAGGATTTTAAAGTTTTACCTGAATTCCAGCATGGCTGCAGAGATAGAAATCAAATTCTGTAGGGTGGCAGATTTTAGAATCAATGACCGTGCCTGAACAAATAAATGCAATATAATGAGAAATGTCATCAGGATTGCATTGCTGTAAGACCAATATGTGTATAAGGATCTAATTATTCAGTAGGCAAAAAATTTACCAGGCAAAATGTTCCCACTCTTATCTGTGCTGCTTCGGTCCCTGTGATTATTAGCGAACAGACGGGTGTGGTGTCGTTTTTGTACAACAATGAAAGTCACGGGTGGTTGATAGTTTGGTTCTAGAGAAGCACAGGCCTGTAACATATTATTCATCCAACCCATAAATGCTTCTTTTCTTGATTGAAATCAAGTATAACCGTGATCAGTATATAAAATATATTAATGCTAACCTTCCGGATTGCATCCAACTCATAAAGTAGAACTTGATAAAATTGCCCTTCACTTACACCATCCCTGCTTAAATTATTTTCAATTATTACAAAAGCTCCCCTGTGTAAAAGGTTCATAATGCATGCAGATGCATCATAAAGCAGAATGGCATGCTCAAGAAGGTTTTAAGCCTCCATAAAGTCCAGGAATCAAACTTCGATCTCAAGTCAAAATCTAGAGATGAAACACTGCATTTCAGCCTAGGGTACTGACCTGTAAAATATGATCCTCAACGGCTTCTGCCCTGTTGCCTTTCTAAAAGATATCAAGAGATCCCTACACATAAAAATGTCCTTAGAAATCAAAATACCTGTACTAAACTGGGATTAGATAAAGGGAAATATTGTGGATAAAAAGATATCCAGCAAAAAATGATGCTTTATACCTAATCATGCCACCACTAACTGTGCCACGGACAGGATCCTGCCATGTTTTGTACAAGTCTTGTATGAGTTCCTGTCTGTGGGCTTGAGCACAAACTAGACCAGCATACTTTGTCACTTCTGGCCAATCTTGAGAAGCTACCACCTACAAGACCATCATATTTTAGCAACAGAATTCCAGCAACTAATGCAGATGACACAAGCTAGTTAAAAGAACCATACAGCAGCTATTGATGGGCTGGAGTCTTCTCCATTCTCAGGGTGAGTCACATCCGCTCCAAATATTATGGTTGGTATATCACTAACTAATGGTATCCTGCAGCTGATGGCATCCAAAAGAACAGTGTTTCTCCCACCCATCTACATCAATTTGAAGGAGAAATTAATAAGTTCAGTGATTAGACCTCAGATAAGGAGTGTATAAAATGTGACATAACATTCATACAGCAATATAATTTGTGAGTGGACCAAACCTTAACATTGATCTTGAGGGCCACATTAGCCAAGTACTGCTTACTGATCTTGAAGACATGTTTTGTGAGACAGCATTGTGATATTAATCCAAGATCAGTTTCACATATGCGCTTGAGATCACCTGAAAATGCAGAACCTTTTTAGAATGGAGAAAGAGTGGAATGAAATTTATTAAAGCACTAAGGCATCAAGCCTGCTTTTGTAAATTAACAAATAAGATACCATATAATGATCCATTGTTGTCAGGCAATATAGCTAGTAGGAGCTCTAAATCTTTTCCCTTAGTTTTGTTCATGGATACATGATAAACATGCTTCAAAGCCTTTTCCACTTGCTCAGGCTTGGCATTATAAATTGGTATGACAGGTTCTGGATTGAATTCCTACATGTCAGAAACAAAATTTCACTTTACTTCCATTAATTAAAAATAATATATTAAAGGAAAACTGAACTTAATGCTTCTAGATATGCAAAATTAAAATAGCTAGAAAATTACCATGCCAGAGATTTGGCACGATTGAGCAAGTTCATTGCAAAATCCACGTGCAACACTCTCTTGCACATTCCTTGAGAAGTTAATGCATGCCCATCGGCTTACAGTCATCCCATTAATCATTTTCTACATTAGACAAGAACAACAGACAAACAGATCAGCAACAAACAAAAAAGGAATAAGGCTGTCCTAAACAAGAATGATAAGACCCTTGATATCATTATTGAGCAACCATCCAACTTAGCCAACATATGAAATATTTTTAACACTTATAACCTACTTAGAAGAAACTTGAAACTCAGGAATGAATGATTGTGAGATTTTTTTTTTAAACGAAATAAGAAGGACGAATGCAGTAAGAAGTTATTCAAGTTCATTACCTTGTTCATCATATTCCATTGACCTACTTGAGGTAAACAATCCTTTTCTTTTCCAGTTTCATGATATTTTAGCTGGAGGAAATAGTCAAATTAGACACTAAAAAATAAATAGAATCCCTTTATTTAAGATAATAGAGAAATCAGAAGAGACAGTTACCCAAGGAGCAGGAAGAATTCGGGCCTCAACAGAAGCCAATTTTTCACTGATCTTAATTCCAAATTCCTTTGCATAAGGGTCTTGATAATAAGCATTATGCTGAACCGTCTGCATGTCCTCAATGTGAAACAAGAATATATTGTTACAAAATAAAGGAGGAAAACAATGAACAATAATCACACATACACAAAAGCATTCAATTGGTATTGCTTCGAAATATTTTATTCTGTTCAGAACACTTGTACTACCATTCAATTGGCTTCAGTCAACATATCAATTTCCAAACCCATTAAAGCTAAGAGTACCAAAATTTCAAACATTTTTAATTTCAATTAAACTAACAAACTTTGAAAGTGGGAACAAAAATATGGGAAACATGTAATCCATAAAGATTTCCAAAATAATAATATGATATAGGAATTCCAATGTGCTTCTTTCAATTAGTAAAAAGATCAAACTTTGACCCCCAATTTGCAACTCAAGTGATAGCTCTAAGATTTTTAATTTCTACTTTTTCTCCACAATATCAAGGTGATTTTTTTTTTTTTCCTATTTTGTTTCAGGACAGGAGGAGAGCACTATTGCTGGAACCCAAGATCCTATCCAATGGCCAACCCTTCACCCAAGAAGCTAAAGCTTGAATGGCTATTCAAGTAAGAAGTGCATCACATGCATGCTCTACAAAGTAGTTTGATACACATACAATATTACCACTGGCAAGTACCTGCAAAATATCATTTTCTCTATCCCTTGGTCTTTGGCATGTAACTTTTAGAAGATTTGTAATTTGCTTCTCATTCAATCTTTTTGTATATCGCTGTCCCTCAACAATTTTGCAGGCCTGGTGAACAAAAGCATTTAGATTTATCAAGCAAACCAGGAAAGAAACCTAACTGGATTCTTAAAGAACAACAAAAGTTGAGTGAAAATTTCAAACCTCCATGGGTAAATAGTTTGCCTTTTTCTGATTTCCTACTTGAAGGCAAGGTAAATGTGTGTGCTGAATGGTGAAGCCATACATCTCCTGGAAGTATTCAACAACTGACTTCATTGTTGAGTTGTCATCTACAGGAAACCTGAATAGATTACCACCACAAATCAAAATCTATCATTTCCTCAGAAAAAGGAAAAATACAAGTATGGCTTTTTGTTGCTATTTCATTGTAGCTGCTAAATTGCCTCAAATCATCACTTCAATAATTCTTCATTAACAAGAAATTCAAAGAGAAAGAGTTGAAACTCACACTAGTTCTCTGGTAGGTTGAGATGTCAATCCTGAAACACGGTATTTTCTCCGCACATTCCCTCGGTGGGTTACCTCAACTTTCACTCCTCTAAGAGCCTTTTTAACCTGGTAGTGGTTTGAGAGTAAAATCTAATTAAATTTGGCCTCAAGAAAAAAACCAGTCACAGGCATGAAGAAAAATATAAAGAAAAAAGTACCTTCACTCGATCAGAATCAGACAATGGCCTTGATAGTACATCCTTGCCCAGAAGTTGGGCAACAAACTCTATTACAGGTAGAGGCTCAATGAATGCAGCTGAAGCCATATCTATAAAAAAGAAAAAGAGCAAAAAAGAATCATAAACATCTTTTACAGTTAGCCATGAAAGTATTTAGATACATTTTGACTTATCATAAATCATATACCAATATTCAGAGACAGCCCCATCTGGGTAGGCCTAATACTCTGGTAAAAACCACACCAAGACTCCAAGCCTTCACCAAGTCTTTGTGGTGCTCTAATATTGGGTGAAAAGAAAGATCTCCCAATTGGGCAGAACCTTCAATTGATCAGGCAATGTTAGATATGCAGAGCTCATGTTGACTAATTACAAAAATAATTTTGTTATGAACACAGACCCTAACAAAATTATACCTCTTCATGGAGAGCTCTCTCAAGACAATGTCAAGAATCTGCAGAGCTTCTTGTGGAGCATCTGCCCGCTTACCAGCAAGAAATTGTCCCAGGTGGTGCATGTTTGCTCGTGCAACAAACTTAATTACAACTTTGTATTTTCTCTCTCTTCTGAAAAATTATGCGCAGATCATTTAAGAATATACACAAAGGTAAAGCAAAAAATAAAGAAAGAAAAAAAATTTAGTTGTTAACTGCATCCTAATGCAACGTCTTTGATTTCTAAACCGTTTCAAGAAATTAAACCAACATGGCACAAGAATTGAAGAACTTAAATGAGAAGACTAACAGGAATGGACAATTGATACTTACTTGGGACCATTAATTCCATCTTCTTCATCTATAAGCTTAATTAAGAACTCTTTCCAAGCAAAAGGGAGTTCACCAGCTGTGTACAGACTCTTTCGACCATCATAAGCAGGCAGTCTCATTCCTAGGTCTGATTCTTTGTACAGCCTCACAAGCTCTGCCATGATAGCTCTGTTAACAGTTCTTGATGGCACTTCAGGAGTAATGGTGACCTGCAAAGAAGCAGAACAGAGTTTGTAAAAAGGCAAATAGCAATATAAAAACAAAATCAACAGCCTGAAAACCAGATTTAAATACCATAAATGCCTTAAGAAGAAAAGGACAACGAAAACGGCAACCATCTTTAATTTCATTCATCTTTAATGGAACAGCAAAATAAAAAGACATAGCAGCACAACCATGATGAATGTCAGATTAAGGGGCCCCCAACTGCTACGACAGAAATCATAAAACCACAACTAAAAGGAAATTCAAAACAAAAGGCTTCTGAGGCAGTATAGCATGAACTATGTTTAAATGTAAAACCCATACAAGAAAACGAACTTACATCATACTGGTTCAGGTCTTTATCTGGTAACTCTGCAAAGAAATGGTTTGCCTTCACAATACACTTTATCCCAAGCTGCCCATAACCAGGCCTAGCTGCAAAATTTAAAGACTTTCTAGAGGTAGGGAAACCCAATTCCATTTGACACAAACTGTCGCCATCCTCAATAGACCCATCCGTGGCAGTAGCCATGACATCACCAGCTGGATTCACAGGCTTGTGGGCCACAGTACAAGGCCTTGAACTTGGTCTCATACAAACATCTCCTTGGTCAGACTTTCTACCACCTCTTCCTCTTCTCCTCCCCCTATTCTTAGTTGTCGGTGATGTTTGAGAATGGGGTTTTGTGTTTTGAGGCTCTTGAACTGGTGGACCTTTACCACTTTGTGAGGTTTTGGGTGTTCTTTCAACTGGGTTCATGGTGTTTTGCAATTGGGTTTTGATCACAAGGTGTTGTTCTGAGCTCTCCTTCATCTGCCTTATAGGCATACTGCTTGGTTTTCTGGCTTGCCCACTGAAACTGATGCAATAAAAGTACAGTAACCCTTTTGGAGGAGTTAAAAGTTAAGATTGGTCTTTCACCCAATGGAAGACACGCAAGGCTATGTCCTTCTACTGGTTTTCCCCCTCACATATTGAGAATCTGCTTGAAAATACAATAAAAAATTGGGAAAAATGCATGTCAGTGGAAATGACCAAATTTTGCAAAAACAGTAGAGTAACAGAAACAATGATGAAGATGATGATGCTAAAGAGCATACGCTAGGTAAGACTTGTTGCAGATAACAAGCTACCATTTCTTTGCAAAACAGAAAGATCCAACTATTCACCTACATTTCAGCTTCTAAGGCCCAGAGACATTTATTACTGAAAATTACAGA